TCACAATAATCTTCATAATTTTCTACTACTTCTTTAGTACAAAGATCAATGTAATTAGGAGGTTGCCAGTTTTGGATACTCACAGTTTTGATATCAATCTACAATAGCTTGTGCAAGACAAGGTGAAAACAGCTTGCATGGGCAGCTATATTCTACTATCAGTCAGATAAGCAGAATATTTAAGATCATCTTACAGGGAATGTTTCATCTGATGTAGGCATAGCTTGCAGTTATTTTGGTGAATGCTTTGTAAAAACAATTCATGGCAGAAGAACAGAGGAACAGCAATATTGTCATCTATGTTGACTCTCAATGTAGCAAAACTAGTAATTTCACAAAAAAACCCATATTTTTTTGCTCATACATTACACAAAGGAGAAATGGGGAAACCTGGAGCCTTCTGCAGCAAGTAAGAAGAGAGCCAGAGAGGACATAAAGACCCATTACAATTGGAATAATTTCATCAAATCTTAAGAGCAGGATATTTGAATCGCTAAATGCTAAGAAAGAATGCAAACCATCCCAGATCTTTAAAGAAATTGACACATTGTTTAAAATCTGAAAGTACTCAGCACAGGGCAAATTTGCATTTCCATAGTCATGCCTGCTGAGATGATCTTAGGTGAAACAGTGGGATTCACATACGTAATTTTGTGCAGGAACTATTCAAGTCTTCCCTAGTTAAACGTATAGTATATTCAATTATTTTTATGCCTCCTTATTTGCAAAATGCTAATGTTCATTAAAAAAAAATTGAACCAATTCAGCTTCATTCCTGTCAGGAAATTAGCATGAAATGACAGCCAGCTTTTCTAGAAAAGTGTTGTCTTAACTGTTCTGATGTGCTTAGCAGGATGACACAGTGCAACCGAGGTACTTAGAGACAAAATGAAGGGAGGAAAAGTGACAAAATGAGAACTCTGACCTTATGGTTTTGTTTAAATTCTTCCTTATTTAGCAGAACATTTAAACACCTGCCTTGCTTATTCAAAGTCTGGCATATATCCAGGGTACATCTAGTACTTGTTTACACAACTTTCTTCTATAATATCCAATGCTTCTCAATTATTCCCTTCACAACACTCTTACGATAGTGAAATATTGTTCTTTCAACCACTGTAGAACTGAAGTCTTATGAGTTTCCACTTTTTCTGACTTACACTTACGTGTGGGTCCATTGTCTCAGTCAAGAGCTCTGGAATAGTTTGTGTTGCCACTGCTCTTGCCTAGCCACACAACTGCATCCAGTCAATTCCAGTGCACAATTAATTTCACTTACTACAAATCTTGGATTCACAGCTGTCTCACAGACCTTCAATTTTCCCATTCAAAAGGGGCTTCTAGCATATGGCTCATGCCATACACAATACTCATCTGCCCTGTGCTCAATGTGGCAGTTTCCTTCCTTTGAACTTGGCACAGATCACATTCATTTTCAGTGCTGTTTTTAAATTTCTCTAGATCCTCTAGGAGATCAACAACTGTTTCACGTGGGACAGAGGAACATTGGTATAAAGGACCCAGTTCTCCTCCAGGTCTCACACAGTCTCTCTTTCAGGCTGAGACATCATACATGCATTTTAAAGTTCTTTTATAAGTGGAATAATCTTTGCTCAAACCCTATATAACTGTTCATTTTGTCCAGGAAGAGATCTAGTTATTCCAGTCCAGGATTGGTCTAGCAGGCAGAAGGTGTGTAATCAGGGAAACAGGATGCTGAAACAGATCCAAGAGTCAACAACACTAGTTAATGTAGTGGAACAAAGCAGGTTGAAGAGTTCATACTGGGGATCCTGTGCAACTTGTGTGATTTTTTTCCCCCTCCCACACTTGAGTTAACCTGATTAATTGGGCTGAATGTTCCCACATTTCAAGGAGGCTTTCTTGAGGTAAAGTATTTCCCAGGCCCAGATAAGCTCTTTAAGTCTGCACAAGACAGACAACTGCCACAAAAGACCTAAGCATTGTAGCATTTAGTGCCTTTTGTTTGCAAATGGCAATAAAGGATTTGTGGCTGGTCACCAGATGGCTCCAGAGAAGAGCTGCTCAAATTCAAATTTCACTATAACCACTGGATTATCCTTTCACTGAGAGAGGGAGACTTAAAGTTGACTGATGCATATGTGGCAAACAGGAGAAGTGGTTATCTAGACACTTGGAGCAAAGGTAGAAAACAGGCTTAAATTGTCACTGCTAACTATTTCTGTGAAATGATCCATTACTAAATATACTTTTTCCTTTACATACTATATCTGAAAGGGGGATTATGTTCAAAATGTCATTTTTAATTGTATATTCTATTCTTGACTTTGCAACATTTAGAATGAACTCCAACTCTCTTCCTCCGAAACATGAGATTGTAGTCTTCCCATCATGTAGCACAAAATGAATTATTTGCAGTTCTAAGATTTCTTTTTAATTAGTGAACCTATAGTGTCTGTCTTTATAAATTATCAATACTTTGTATTTCCTTAAGAAATGACTTTTATATAATCATTTGAATAGTAGCTATATAAAAGTGAGCAAAACCAAACTATTTCACAAGGTAAAGGCAGAACATAGAAGGAATGAGCATACAAACTTCTCCATTAGTTCATTTAGTACTTGGTTCATATGATCTCACATAGATTTTACACGCAAAAAGCTATGCAAGATGTTTCCTTTACCAGTGCACAAACCAACCACAGAGAGCACAAACAGGAAGAGATGTGTATGCTGCACATCAGAAAGAGTGAACACAAGGTGAATTCCAGAAAAATCTTTAAAGGAAATGTGTCACTTTCTGCCATTCAAATACATTTATTTTAACTGTAGGAAACTTACGACTGCTGTAATTACGTCAGATTTTTTTTTTTTTGCTAACCTGAAAACCAGAATCCCTAATTTAAGTGCAAATTTTACCATAACTGAAGAGAACTAGACACAGAAAGCAGAATATTTTCATTTTCTGATGTAAGGACAGAAGCTGCAGTTGTTTCACAGGTAGTATAAAACTTTCACATCTCTAATAAAGGGCCATGCTGGAAAAGGTTAAGAACTCAAGATCTGAAATAACCATTAGCTGCACTTAGACTGGTTATATGTAAAAGGGTTTCTGTTGTGTCCTGTTTTATTTTGGACTTCTTGATTAAGATTAAGATCACACAATTAGAGAACATTTTTGGGCAGATTCCTTGTCCCAAAGAAACCTGACTGAAAAAGTCACCAAGGTTACTAACATTGCCTTCCTTCCTTTGCTAATGGCAGCAATTCTGGGGTAATGAAGCATTTTCATTTTCAAATATTTACATTTTCATGGATAGGGAATGCCACAAAACATTAAGGAGAAAGCATTTCATACAACAGTGAAAGCAGTGCTTGAGGCAGAGCAGTGACTATTACAAGGCAACTTAACTACTTCAGGGTATTCAGCTATCTGCAAGCATAGTGGCTCACTTAGTTTTATGTTGTCCTAAACATCTAACAGGCACAGCAAGACAAATATGGCCTACAACAAAGAACCAGGCAAGAAAAGGTTTACAGATAGAAAAGGAAGCAACAAACCTACAAGTATTCATTTTTGGAGACTCCTAAGGAGTGGGCATAACAATTTTTTTTTTTTTTAAATACATTGTTTCTCATCTTCCACACGAGGACTGGTGTTTGAGGCCACCTTCCAGGTCAGCAGGGTCTACCTGTTTACTACCAGAGGATAAGAACTTAAAGCCCTATTGCATTCATTTTCGTTCTTTAGATGCCATTTTCCAGTTTGATGCTTTTGCATTATATTTATATTATATGTAAGATTATATTTTATATATATATTTATTAAATTCTGTTTTAAGTCCAAGATAGCATAGTCAAGGTAGTACTAAAGAATATTATTACACCAAGAGTGTATATATATATATTTTAATTTCTAGCTGGAGATAACAGCTCAATCTACCAATTCAAAACAGGAAGATACAGTGAAAATTACCTTTTATTTGTATGATTACCATTGAGAGTGACTTGGGTATTCAAAGCAAAAGGTCTCCTCTGATACTTAAAATTTTAGATGTCAACCACGTTTAAGAAAGTACTACTGCTTACTGTTTTGACCATAAATAGTCACACACAGAATCAACATCTAATTCAAAAACTCCTTTGAGGTGGCTAAATGTTTATATTCTCATACAGAAGAGGTAATGATTTGCGTAAGCTGAGTGACATCTCTTAAAAGTACATTACAACTGGAGAATTCTTGTATGTCATTTTGCTCATTGTTCTACCATGCTGTATATTAAACAGAAATTCTTAGACTCTGAGGACTTACACTGGGTTACAGTGGACAATTATTTTGTGAGAGCAAATTCTATCTGGAGTACTTTTCTTATTTCCATCACCTCCCCGTCCCCCATACATTAAGTAGCTTTCATAGTTTTCTGCCAGGAAAGGCTAAGTAAGCACGATTGCTGTGGGAAAAAAAAAAATGCAAATCAAGATTTCAGCACCAATTGAAATTAAATTTTTTCAAGTAATTTTGTCTTAAATGCATAATTTTCTTCAAGAATTTACGTTTAGTTGCTGTCTTCCTCCACCTCCCCTCAGATGTTTGGAAATCACGTTACAGGGAGAAAAACACACACACAAATGCTTTTTGGAAATGATTATACTTTTGCACTTTGACAACATTACGATCTACTTCCTTTTCTCTACTATAAACCTGAGAACTCAGTTATTACCAACATGATCACGTTATGTTTTGGGACATCACCAACTGTCTGTGTTGAAAGCTAGCTTTCATGCTTACCACAATGCTGAATCTAGCTTATCCCACTACTAACTGGCAGAGCTGAAGGTAACCGAACAATTTTTGGTAAATTGAAGTGACTAATCAATTCCTTAAAATTAAGTTCATTTTTATTGAAATATAGGTTTGCCAGGCTATTTCAGCTAACATCATCATAACATCAGATCTAACCTTCTGAAACTGATCTGCATTCACATGAACCCCATGTATTTCACCCATTCCAGTAGTAATGCTATCTAAGAAGTTTCTATAGAAGTAACTAGCCACTGATTGGAGGCTACCTTTTGTCCTGAGTTGTCCCTGTGTTCTCTCCTCCCCTCAGCAACACAAATACAGCCTGCCCACACAATTTTCTTTCATCTGAAAAAAAACACACACAAAAACCTGTTTCAACATCCCTTTTAAGAGACTTGTACCCTTTGGAGAAATGTGACAGATAGCAATGTCAGTAAATTATGCTTTGGATACTCCACATCTCGCTTAGAGTTTCACCTTCTTAATGCTTACAGAGTTTTATCTCTGGAAGCTAGCACCTGTTTGCACGTCAAACATTTCATTGTTTCCATTTCTATGATCAATTTGGTGTCAAATTAGATACTGAGAAACCTTCTGTAGTTTGAGTGAAATAGGCTTTAAAGAGATAGAATCTGCATTTTTAACTTGAGCCACAACAGTTCTCTAAACTTCAATTAACATTTTCTGAGCTCACTGTCTAACTCAGATTACCATCTAACCTTATGGGTCAGATTTTGAACTTGTTTAACAAAGAATCTCAGTAGAATTTTCCATAATGCAAGATTGATGCAAAACTAGTGTGTGAAACCTCACTCTGCTCCCTTAGAAGATTCTAGCACAGCAGTAAGGTCAAAGAAGCTGTAAAACATCAATCACTTTGAGTTTCAGAGTTGTTTCTAACCACCAAGTGAAATAATAGCACAAGATACTGATCCCAATGGGCTGCTCTAACGTCCAGTGCTGTTAAAATTGCCAGAAGGCCAAGCAAGAAACTTGTGTTCTAAGTCAGAACATCATAAAAAGGGAAAGCAAAGGTAGAAAGTGAACCTCTAAATAGCCAGAAATGTATGTGAAAGGGAAAAAATATTAGATGCATTTAGTGAAGTACAGCTCTTTTGAAGAAAATGTTTTCTAAAATGAGAAAAGTTCCAGAAAAACAAAATCTATCTTCCATACTTCAAGCATATTTTAGACAATAATCCCCAGTATTTTTTGTGCTCAAGTCAATATTTATGAAGAAAAAAGGAATTTTGACCAGCTAAACATAGAATATAGCTCGGCTCCCAAGAGGTCAAGCTGATAAGCATCTTATGCTGATCTTTACCCAGTACACATCCTGTATCTTTCAGCAAAATCAAATGAGAAGAACTCATGGCTTTATCAGTGTGACTTGGCTGACTGTTTATGAAGCAACTCTGTAAGTATGTATCACATCCTCAAGAGTCTGGGTTTTAGCATGGTTTGATTTCTGACGAGGTATTGCTGAGACAGACATTAACTGCACTTGTTGAAGGGCATTTGCAAAGTAGCTTTTCCCATGCCTTTTGACTTTGCTCTGGACTACTCTTTAGGAAGGGGCTTTGTTCAGAGGTGCTGAGAATCCTCAGTTTTTTCCAGAAGTTAGTGAGGTAACATTTTTTAATTATTATTATTACTTTTACTTTAAAAACTACTGCTGCAGAATTTTGTACGCTTATCTCAGCTGAGTTTTCTGCTCTGATTTGTGCAGAGAACAGCACTCACCTCAGGCCAATCTTTACATCAACAGTTACTTATGTTTCTCCATTATTCCACTTTCACCAGCTTGTCTATTGTATTAGAACATGTCACTAGGGACCGCGTCAGTTATGTGAGGTTATGCTACATCTGTGAGCATGATGTAACTCTGGGGTTGGGAGAATGGGATTTTCTCACAACTGTGGGTAAGAGAATAGGCAACTTGACAAGCATGGGTAGTAAACAGTAAATTAGAAACAGAAATCTCTAGATTTATGAATTACTGTTATTTGAATCAGTCATGTTGCCACAAACTTATACCAAGCAAATACGCAGTTACATCGCTTGCATAAGTCAAGGGCTCTCTTTGCTTATGTACTCAAAGGCACTGGAAGATTGATTTATGTATGAAATTTAAAAAATATTTATATATAAAAGCCTTAAAAGTACTTCAAATACTCTATTGCGTAAACTGCAGTGCAGAGAAGTCTACTTTTGAATGAGAGCACCCAGTTGGGGTATGGGAGAAAAACAGTTTTTCTTTGACTTCACAGCATGGAAGAAGCTGTCACATTCTCCAGACTGTTGAAACCTAAGCCAGGAGAGAACGACGGTGCCAAAACATTTCCCTTAAACCATGCAGCAAAAGAAAGATACGACAGAGGAAGAGCTTCAACAAATCTGAGTTAATTGACACCAGCTTGGAGTTTGCTCCAAAACACTACTTTACTTCTGTTTTACAAATCACAAAGCTGTACTCGCTTTTTGTCAAGGTGCTTTTCATGCAGTAACACTTCTATGCCCATGGATACTAGGAAGCAATATAAACTCGGTGAGAGAAGCCAACACCTGCAACTTATGTCCATGGGCACAGAATACAATGGTAAACTCAAAGAAATGTACTGTGGCATTTAGTCTGCTACAATTCAACTACTGCTATGAAGAGAGCTTTTGAGAAACTAAAACAATAATGTTATTATTGTTACTAAACAATACTGCTCAAAGAATTGGTGCTATATATAAACTCATAAGAATGTTTTCATCAAGTTGGGAAGCCAGTCTTTGTGAGGCTGAAGAGAAGTTTTAGTAACTGAACAAGTGTTCATTCTACGTTGCATTCCCCAAGGGTTAGAAAAACAGCAGAAGGCTACATAGTTTAGCATTTTTTTTTCACATGCAGAACTAGAAAACTGAAAATATATCTTTGTTTTATAGAATTTTGTTTAGTCCTCAGACTACTGAGTTATTCTTCAAATGCCTTTCACTAACAAAGACTTAACATTTAACAGAGGATCAGTCAAATTCCTCAGGCATTAGATGCATGGTTGATTTTTTTTTTTTTTAAAGCCTGCATTTAATAATTAAAACAATGCAACTAATCCACAACACGAAGTATTTTGGAAGCATATAATAGGGTGAATAATACAGCTGTCAACTAAAGAAGAACTTTTCTCATCAAGGATCACTTCACAATATGAGCATCTCCAGATTCCCCTCCAGCTAGAGCACACTTCCACATAGTTGGAGATTTTTAATATTTCTTAATAGCTTATATAAACCACAGGATTTCGTAACAGAACAAGATTTCCTAGGGTTCATTTAACACTTGCAGCAAGTTGCCAGCATGTATTACCTTGCCAATATTTATAGGTAAGCGGTTTTCATTCAAGAAATGTAATGGTGACAGGTTTTGTATCTTGCTGGTCATCCTTTTGTAAAATTTACAGTTCATATAGCAAGTGACTCAGGTCTTTAGAATATAGTTACGATAGACATATCAAGAGGACTGTGAAACTTGCACATTTATGAGAAACAAACCTCAGGAACCAAATACTGAGAACTTAATATTGAGAAGGTCCTATTTCCCTTTTTATTATCTATATAAAGGACATGTCCTGATTTCCTCACATCTGTACTGCATGATCAGAACATGCAAGTCTGCCAGAGCATTGCTAGTGGGCTCAGAAAGAGTATCTGTTATTCTATGAGCCTGAACAGAGCCAAAGTGTTTTCTTGTATTGATTTATACCCTGAGTTTCCAGTCAATAAATTAATACATTTTGTTAATAATATTCTCTTATTTTCCCCAAATTTGCGTTACTTCAGTAAATAAATGTTCCTCTCATTCAGTTATGGAGGGGAAAAAAGGTCATCCACAGCATAGAAAAATAGCAAGAGTACTTCTTCTGTCAGGTATTTCACAAACCATGACTAGGAACACCATCATTCAGGACTATGATTGACCATATCTGCTGCTCTTCACGGTCATTGGCTTCCCATGGGGTGAAACTAAGTCAAGCTTGACACCTTGGAGGTGAATCCTGAGAAGCAGTCATTATTCCTAACTACAAAAGGTTTGGGCAACTCATTGCAACAATAATGGATCACAGGGGTGGGAAGTTCAGTGCATAGTACTGGCCAGTCAGTCAGTTCAGTACCAAGATACCATTAGATACTACTTTGTCAGGCCTTCTCTTCAAGTTATATCAGTCCTCATAGCCCCTCAGTAACAACAGGAAAAAAAGGACCTTAAGGTTCATTCTCTAGGACTGAATGGAAGAACCAATCACTCAATTATGAATTGGAAAATGGGTGCACTGCAGTATGGAGGATTCTACTTCATTTTAATGCCTAAAGATATTAAAATATGGGGAATTTCATTTGTACTGCTGCTGAGCGACATATTTATATAATGCCTACATTTGACAGGTATTATCTGTTAGAACCTTCTTGTTGAATCACAGTGAAATAGAACCATTAAAAATAGTCTCTTAAAGAGCACATAAGGTCTTAGCCCTTGCCTCCTACAAAAGCATCTCTACAGATATTCTCAAATCACACAGGAATACACGTGCACAATCAAATTGGATCACACTAAAACAGTTACTTCTGCATTGATTTAAAGGCATGACTGAGGCCCTCCAACATTTCTTCAACCCTCTGAGAAAATTAAACACTTCCTCTGAGAAATTCTTCCCACACTCCATCTTTTCTTGGTACTTGAGACCATCAAATGAGAAAAGTATAGTCAAAGAGATAAGATATCAAACTCATAAGACAGTTTTGGTTTAAAGTTGCTGATTGTGGGTCATCTTACTTGGTATACATTCTCTCACAGATTAAGAAACTGCCTCATAATGTGCCTGCTTTCACTTCATTAGTGAAGCCACACAGCTAGACACTGAGATCAACACTTCTGCTCCAAATAGGCAGCATAAGAGGTGGTTCTGTGGGCTTTTATCCACACAAAAAATGCTTCCTCTTAGTTGGCTGGTTGACTCTTTTTTCTTAGCAACTTTACTAAGGACTTTGTCATTACACAACCCTGACGTTCTTTCCCTTGTCTTTTCTTAAGTTGGGACTGTGTGCTTCATTTAGATTAAGTCAAAGAATGCTTTGCTTTTGGCTTTGTTGGGGAGATATCCTGTGTGAGCACACATTGAGCTCTATCTGTCCTGAAATTACAGCACATCAATGCATTTTTTGCAGCTCTGTCGAAAGACTGTAATCTTAATACAGATACTTGTTGTAGATAAGCAGAGAATGGCATACTTTCTGCTGGTTCTAAATCAAAACACCATTATCTCCTCAATGTATTAAAAGAACTTTGGTCTTCTTTAGTAGACAATGGCAGTATAAAAAACACTCCCCTGCCAGCGTAGAGAACTGTAAGCCATTTTGCTTCCTAAAGCCAACATTACCTACAGTTCTATGCAACTGTGCAATACACAAGAAGGAAGAACAGAAAACTGAAGTTTCTCCACATATTTCTACTGTGTGCTTATTTTAACATGTGAGAACATTAAATAAACAGAGAGGACTTTATGTTTCACTGGTTACCAAATAACTTTTTAAAAAAGTCAACAAAATAAATAAACATGAGTCACTACCTCTTCACTTTGCATTCAGATCTAGTGGCAGCTTTCAATGCATTGTTTTAATTAAGCTTCCAAATTTGTTCATAGGCTGCCCAGGTCACAAGGAGAATTAAAAACAAATACTGGTAATTTATTTCTGCTTTTCTTCTTCAGGCAGCTACATCTGACTTGTATGCAGAAGAAAATCTAGCAGGATCCACATGACTGGAAAGGGCATCAGTGATGTTTGACATTGTTTAAGCTTCTGGAAGCACTGATTTGAACTCTGCAATGCCTCTGGGATTTGTATGAGAGACATAGGCTTAGTAATTCAAGCAACACACAGGTATTAGACATGAAAAGCTCACTACTGAATTGCATACATGATTTATGCAATAATAGTTGTTGTAATTTCAATACACATAATAGATTCCTCATCCATACGTACCCCTGGAGACCATGCATTAATAATAACTCATCCAAATTTTCATGGTTATCAATTATTTCTTCCTCCTTTTAAAATTTGTTTCTGACTCCCCAGCCTTAGCCTCTATATTTTTAGAGATGTAGAAAAGATAATTTCATAATTATTACAATTTTCTCTGCTTTCCAAGCACTCAGACTGCCAGTTTTCCAGTATTTTTGAGACAAAAAATAACCAAACACATTATTTCTTCAGTTTTGACCATCTCTTAGCAAAAACATGTCAAGGGAGACAAACAGTGATCCATTAGGTATGTCAATCAGTGCTAATCATACAGAATCAGAGTTTCAGTGATTAGTTCCCAACAACCTATCCTGACATTCTAATTTCAGCTCATCAGAAGCTTGGAGAAAGAAGAACCAGAAATACACACACACACTTTGATCCCTTGGTGGATTTTTTTGTGAAAGTCCAAATTTAGAGGCATTTTCAGATCTGTTGACTTCTAAAAGTTCTTAAAAAATGCTCAAAAATACTATTTACTACAGCTTAGATAAAGAAGAATACAGGGAAGCTGCTCTCAACTGTTGGGGAGTCAAGTGAGTTTGTGGACCTTAACTATGATTTTCCAAATTTTGAATTGTTCAACAGCTTTTTTGAATTTAATCTTAAATAACAAAAATCTATGCACAATACCTTTCTAGCTCCAACATTCTTGTTGGAATCTCAATCTGTAATGTACTGCTGTTCATACTGAAACCAAGCTGTTGTTACTTAAAAAGTAGAATTGTTAGGGCATATGCTATTTCTGGTACCTTTTCCTTTTGTTCTTTACTTTCCCTGTATTGAATGTTTTCATACAACAAAACTATTGGTACCTTTCATCCCAATGATGCTGCAGGCATAGATATCAGAACTTTCCTTCTCTCAACGGGTAGCTCTGTAGGGTGGGGTTCAGGTGTGCTGACCTTGCACCAGCTGCCACTGCGGATCAACAGAAAACATCACTGTATGCAGCTGCTGGTCTATATCTTGGCACAAGCACTTTAATAAGGTTCTGACAGTGAATATCCAAAGTAAGCGATTCTAATGTTGTGCAAAGTCCTGTAAATGTTAGCAGAGTAATGGACACAGCTCACATGCTGGATAGGGGCCCTGAAGTGAGCCTGTGGGCCAATTGTTTTCTTTTTTGATCCCTCACCTTTCAGGTGCTGTTGACCCAAATATCAAAGAAATGGAGAACAATTCTACTCCACTGGAAATAACACCATTATAGTTCCTTTGCATTATTATTATTTTTTCTTCATGATCAGTTACATGCCATGAGCCAGGAATGAAGCTGTACTATGTTTGTCAATCACTTTAAAAATAATTTTATTCAAGTTGTCATAATACCACCATCTGTGACCCAGTAGAAACCTCCTCCTTTAAGAGACAACTGAAACAGCATTTCTTCATATTTTCAGGCCATCAAAACGATGGTGGAATCCCTGTATTTCCAAATTATATGTAGATACATTCTTCCCTGTGGCACTAACTATGAAATAATAACCACCTGATCTAGAAGTATTTCAAAAGCAGTCAAGCTCATCACTTCAGTACAGTTAAGCATTCCTGCACTTATTTGTCTGCATGGTTTCTCATTTCCTACAGCAGTATTTCCTTTTGCAGTGAGATAATATTGCTATTATACTCTTACTGTAACCTAGAGAGCCACTTTCACAAAACTCACTCATAGAATCATAGAGCCACTCAGGTTGGAAAATACCTTAAAGATCATTTAGTCCAACCACGTCCTAACCATACTAGGTAACAACCCTCTGCTAAATCACGTCCCTGAGCACCACATCCAAATGGTTTTCAAGCACCTTCAAGGCTGATGACTCAACCACCTCCCTGGGGAGCCAGTGCTTAACCACCCTTTCTGTAAAGAAGCTTTTCCTGATATCCAACCTAAACTTACCCTGGCAAAACTTGAGGCCGTTTCCCCTCATCCTGTCACCAGTGAGAAGAGATCAACGTCACCCTCGCTGCAAGCACCTTTCAGATATTGGAAGGCAGCAATAAGGTTTCCCCTCAGCCTCCTTTTCCCCAGACTAAACAGCCCCAGTTCCCTCAGTCTGTCCTCATAGGGGATATTCTCCAAGCCCTTCACAAGCCTTGCTGCCCTTCTTTGGACCTGCTCCAGCACCTCAATGTACTTTCTCTATTGAGGTGCCCAAAACTAAACACAGCACTGAAGGTGAGGTCTTGCCAGTGCTGAATACAGGGGGAGGATTCCTTCCCTAGCCCTGCTCACCACTCCATTCCAGATCCAAGCCAGGATGCCATTGGTCACCTTGGCCACCTGGGCACACTACTGCCTCACCAAGGTCCCTTTCCATAAGGCAGCTTTCCAGTTTCTCCTCCCCAAGCTGTAGGGTTGCCTGGGTTGGTTGCAACCAAAATGCAGGACCCAACACTTGGCCCTACTGAAACCCATATAGTTAATTCAGATCTTTATTCCCCTTTGTTAATGGATGTTCAGTAGCTCCAAATTCACTAGAATCATTCCCTGCATTTCAGAAATATTATCTACAAAGTCATTTTTGTGAAAAGCTCAGAAACATTTTTTTTTTTTGTATGATTATTACAGTTGGGTTACAGCTGGAAAGATTATCATAGTGAAAATAGGAAAAGAAACAAACAGGGAGGAATGCTCACCTGCATCTGAAGATCTAGGTTTGCAAGAAAGATTCCACAGATGAGGAATCTCCAGAAAGAAACCCATCCCAGGGGCAGTCAGCCCTTAAATAGTAGACCCCATTTAAGGAGAAGTACAGCCAGGCTCCACTCCTTCCATCACACAGCTGAATTGCCTCCACCTGTGCTCCATGGCTGACTCAGTGCTTGCCTCAGGTGATCAATCAGTGGTTCAGGTCCTGACTCAACAGTTCCCATACATACGACAAATTTCTCAGAGAAAAATGGTGATGAAGCATCTAAAAGTATTGCACTGTGTATGTACGATTTGGCAAACAATTTTGGTAAAAAACTTGCAGAAGCATCAAAGGTATTTAAAAGTTTCTTTTGAAACGTTTTGTTGAAGATAGGAAAAAAAAAAAAGCCAAGTATAAGAGCTTAAAGAGGATCAAGAAACACTAAAAGATTTAAAGAGCTACCCTATCAACATGGAAAACACTAATATAAGAATACATCTGAAAAAAAAGACATAAAATGTGGTACTTCAAGATTGCTATTTAAATACAATCAAGCAGAAAATGAATAACCTTGTTAAATACCAGAAATTGCAATCTTTTGTATCTTACAACCCACAGCTATAAGAAAAACATAGTGCAATTTATTTTTTCTAAATTACCAGAGGTATTTAGATTTTCATATTCTAAAAACAGTTTCTATTCTTTATTATTTTATTTTGGGACAAAAGGAATGACGTATATCACTACAGCTGAAGGAGGTACAGGATTTTCATTTTTTATCAGACAAAGATTTGTAGGAAACAATACAGATCTGGAAATTCAGAAAAGGGAATGAGAAAGGTAAGGTTAATAATTTTTAACTGTAGCACTACGAGGAAGAAATAAAAAATTAATTTTCATAAAACAGCATGTTGCCTTTCCATTTTGAGATCTTATTCATTCATCTTTTAACCTTCACAATCTTTGAAAAATTAGTATAATAGCAGGAGTAGGAACAGAGCATTTGGATCAGCGGGGGCTTTAATAGTCACACCTTGCTGCTATAAGATACTCTGATTGAAAGTGAATGAGATTCGATTAAGACTTAGCAGCCCTGGCTGTTCCTGAGATACTCAGAATCTGATGATCTTACTGTATATTTAGATGTGTATTAACTTACAAGGGCCACTAAGAGTTTCACATCTGCAATACTAAGCGTCTTTAAAATGACTCTTGTCCTTTCTACTTCCACGTTAGATGTCATAACACTGAAAGAAAGTGGAAAGGAAAAGGTGTCTTCTTACAGAAGAAGTCTACGGGGAGATAGCTGCATATATTCTCTCAGCAGTGGCCACATCGTGACATCTGTACAGAGCTCTGCTGCTGCAGAGAAACTGGTGCAAGGAAATCTGCCCTGTTTGCATTTTGATTCCATTCTTAATACAAGCAAAACCAGCCTAAACATGTGGTGGTGCTCATGTTTCCCCCTGGTATAGGAAGTCCTCTGTGATATCACCTTTAGGGGTGGCAGTGTTATGGATCATTTTGGGTGGTGTGTTGTCCTTCAGTCAAGGCAGGTTTTGGTATCATAAAAGCACAGTGCAAGGCAGCCTAAAGAACCAGCAGACTGTGCTCAGACTTGCTCCCCTGTGATGCTGCACTGCTGCTGCAGGCACGCTCAACAACATGAGGAGGAAACATCATCTAGAAACGTAGGGAGAAAGGCAGCCATATGTGCAGAATTCACTCACCACCCATAAGCAATCTCTCAGGACTTGCTGACCCTCATAGGCACTGCACTATCTTCATAGATACGTTATCCTAAGCCAATATACCAAGGCAGTTAGATCTAGGGGCTAGAGCTAGCTCTGGAAGGTGCAGAGAACAACAAAATGACCTTCAGCTTCCCTCTGCAGGAGCTGTACACAAAGTAAGTATAGTTCAATATCAGAAGCTTCAAACAGCTTTCCCACACACAGTGTTATCTGTAGACAATGTTGGAGGTGCAGTTTGAAGGAACAGGTAGAGCAAGATCCGTGAACAAGTGACAACTGTGGCTGCCAAAAAGCTAAATTCTATCCTATAGGCCTTCTATTCTTTTCCACAATAGTAGCAAAAATAGCAGCTGGCACAATCAGGACTAGGGAATCTAAACTGTCTAAAGTTCATCAAGTTTAACTTCCTTGGGCTTGGTAGGCTGATGAGCAACAGCAGAAATTCTTCTACCTCCACACACATTAAACCAATGCAATTGAAAAGCAATGTCAGATCAGCTAGAAAGTGAAGTCCATTCACTTTGCTTATTTGAAAGCAACAAACCAATCCATGCTGACCTGAAAAAGGCTTACTATAATAGGGAAGGGAGAAGCAAAGGTATATTTTAAATACTCCTATGCAATTAAAAATGAATACATTTGTTTTTCACATATGACCATGAAATATTTTCTCTCTTGACTTTTTAATATGCTTGACTACAGGAATACTGACTTAATTGCTATCACTTGTTTTTAAATGCTGCTAATTAGTTTCAGTTTGTTCTGCAGCAAAGCATGCACTCTTCGAATAGTTGACCTTAGTCAGATTTTCCTCCTGAAAATTATTTCCATCTCTTGTATCTGGACTATGCAGATAATATGTTTTCAGTAAGTGCTTCAAATAGGAACCAGCAGGTGAACAAATTAAGATATTTAGCCAATACTAAAACACATATATTTGGAAGTTATATTATATAAGCAAGTTATGTTTTTAAACTCTACCCATAAAAGTACCAAACTGCAACTTACTCATCTCCGAGACCTGCTGTTGACTCAAAATAAACTTCTTCTGAATGACTGGCTCTGTGTCATATCAAAGCAGAAGCTTTAACACACTTAGGAACAAATTATCTCGCACTTTCAACTTCTGTGAAAGTTTGAGTCCTTTGTATTTGTTGCCAGATATGCATGTTGTGCATAGATAAGCTTGGTTGATATGTCACGTAAGCAAGGGAATATTATTTTCACGAGAAGTGTAAGGGAAAAGGTACGTATTTTCTGAACTCTCTCATCTATTTTACTTCTGATTGTTAATGTGCTATTTTCCTCTGTCAGAACCTGGAATCCCTACAGAAAGCCATGAAGGTCCTACTTTGAATAATCTTGTAACTTCACTACACGTTCTGCATGGTGACTTGAGGATGCTTTCTGTGTAAGTACAGGAATGGTGACCTGCATGAGGATTTTATGCTCCTGTTTCAAGACAAAATTCTAACCCGTCTCCCTGCACCTAAGCAAACCAATGGAGGAAAAACGTAGTGCAAACTTAAAGTTCTTCCAAGGCCATAGGAAACCTTGTATGGCATTTCCAGTTGACTTTGCAGTAGATTTATAGGATTCCACAAAATCAGCGGACAGAAGCTGACACAAAATGTCTTCTGCATGCTTTGATTTCTTTTTCATTGTAATGACTTCTTCATTTATATTCTATTGAAACAAGCAACTCGGGATTTCCTTTCCCTTTTTTGGGAAGGTTCCCGTCATGCAGCTGCCTTCTGTGATGTCAAAACATGTGAGTTAAGTGTGGTCCAAGGATTATTTTGCCCAAGTCCACCAAAATTAATCAGATGTTTAATACTTTCAGCATCTCTGAATATCTCGGTTTGAACAAAAAACCTCCTGTAATAAGCCAACTTTTCCTCTTCCTCAGGCAACTTCTTGACAAGTAAAGATTCAATATGACTTGAATCCTACATAATGCAATTTACTGAAAGATTTCTGTTACCATTTCCCCTTTAGTGCAGCAGACTTTACTGCATCAAAATCTTATGCAAGCGGGTTTCACGGCACGTATAATTACATATAATTCTTGCCTTCCCATCTGAACTAAATCAGTTCTTCTGATGGCAGACTCTGTACTCTGACTCTGGATTTGAATAAAGCATCATTTGTATTGAATGTGCTGGAATTGGCAGATGGTTTGTCAATCATTCAGTTTGATATTAATTGCTTCATTGAGATCCCTTTCAGAGAACTGGGGACAAAATACATAGTGTCTTATTACATTAAGAAAAAAATCACATCTGAAATGCTTTGAGGGAAGATTCATCTGCTTGGCAGACAATGGACTTTCTACCTAAGAGTTAAATCTGACAAGAAAATTCCATGATTTGAAGATTATGTTGTTTTCTTTCTGTTAACAACCAAAACCATGTATTATTTTGCCTGGAAAAAGGATTCTATTACTGTTTGAGCAATACTTGTAACTGTTGAACTTTTTTTTTCTTTCTTTTTTTTCTGTAAAACAGGTATGTAGTTATTTTCATTATTATTATTACTATTGCTCAAATATGTCACCACTCACTTATGAATATGTTTGCCTGCATTCACATGTACCTCATAACAGCTCTTGTTGAAGGCCATTGCAGTCAGCTGTGACAGGACAGGTAAAATCAGGAATATTCTGCACTTGTTTTTAATGATTAAACGTCTATAACATGAACTGGAGTGAGGGATATAGGTCTGCTTTTGATAAACTACTGTGGGTTTGCTGTTGGATCCAAAGCATTTCAGGTATAATGGGTGTTTTCAGGAACAATCCAACATACTTGCAATTATATGCATGCTTCACATCAAATGCACTTTTTTCCTCAGTATAGTGAATGTGTGTCTAGCACCTCAAAATCAATATGTATGATTTAATCTCAAATTCCTTATCTGACAGATAATTAAAACATATGTCACATAATTTGTTAGTCATTAAAAATATATCCAAAACTTATTTAAATATATATATATATCTAAGCTTTCTAAAAGTGTAGCACCCTTTCTTCTGATAGTTGTGTATTGCTATTTCCCCCATAGCAATTACAGAAGGTGCCAAATGATGCCTATTTCTTTTTGATATCTTATGCAATTTTATTTAAGTATACAGTGTATCCGATCACCCTAAGTATTTTTTAAAAAGAGGTGATCAGTTAAAACTGGAGTCTTTCTACTTCTGCCATTGTAAAACTGTACTGAGTAACTGAGTTAAACGTCTTATCTCCAGAGCAAAGCTCTTACATCAAAACTCCTATTCCCATGCTCTGCATTCTGCGCTTCTCCGTGAGTCCTCTTCATAGTAATT